GAATCAAAGAAGGGATTTCTAGGGCGGGAGCTCTTGGCGTTCGATGTTCGGCCTCGGCAAGGGCCTGACTGGCAAATACGTCGTAGGGCTCGTCTACATGTATTTTACGGAAGAGATCGAGTATTGATGGAGCTCACCTCGAGTCTCTCGTGGAGGAAGAACATGTCAGGCAAGTGAGCGTACTCGAGGACAATAGGGAGGCGCCCCTTTATTCGCGGTTGAAGTTTCGTGCCTTTCTGTTTGACGAAGGCCTTCGCGTACAGGAATCGACATTCCTCCCCGTTGTCTCCAAGAACTTGCTGGCGGTCCTCGGTAATCTCGTGGCACTGAGGCACCGTATCGCCTTGGTCAGGAGAGGTTTTAATGAGTATGGGGCAATGCACGTTGTCGCCCGAAAAACGTTGACGTGAGAGTTGTTGGAAAATGTCTGCCATGGCGAAAATTTGACGGTAATGCTATTTACGACACCTGTGTCGCAAAATAATAACTGCATCTCTGAGTTCCTACGGCCCCCAGCTGTCGCACAAGCCGTCGTTTGGCGGCAACCGACATGTGGTTCCCGAGATATGCCCAAGAACGTGTCCACAACACCACTTTCGGCGGTGTCGTACTGTAAATACGAACACACCTTCAATGGGCACGAAACTATATGCGCCGTGTTCCCACGGCCTCCAGCTGTCGCGAAAGTCGTCGTTCGACCCAACCTGATGCGTGGTTACCGATATTCATGTGGGCCCAAGGGTATGACTAGATATTGCCTTTCCTACGACGGCCTAACAAGGGCGCAGGGTGACTCGGCTGCATAATCCACACAGAAGACGATCTCCATCGCTGCATACAAACAAACGCAACACCAGAAAACGTTGACCAGCATCTTTTGGTCAGCACTTCGACCAACGCACTGCACCCAGAGGTCAATATGCGCTGGGGAGCCGCCCCAACTACCAACACGTGAGCGTAAAACTCGGTGGCGGAAGGAGTGGGGATCGCAAGCGGTGGGTATGCCCGTTGCACCTTCGTCTGTGCCCCACCTCGCCACCACCCTGTCTACCTACTGCATACCAACAAGACCGGCACAGCAGCAACCGTAGCGAAAATGGCGAGGAACACGTCTACGAAGAGCTCCAACCCTCACTACTCTTGCCCCTGGCTGAGTTGAGGACCCAACGACGGGCTGTCCTCAAAACCGCACGGGGATGAACATGGCATCCCCGTTGACCACCCTGGTCTGATGAGGGTCAGGTAACGGGCGTCCCAAGCTGCCTGATCCCTTCATTGGCTGCCCTCTACCTCCACCGTCTCACGTGTGTTCCCAAGGTCACAGGAATGGGTCACAGCAGCACGATATTTGAAACTTTCTGGCGCCTGTGTTTTTGAGATCTTCTGTACGTATGTAGACTCACTTCCTACGAGGGTTAGGGAGATGGGCAACGCTCAACTTCCACAAGCAAAGCATGTAAGAAGGGTGGGGGGTGGAAAACTAAAACCCCTCACCGATGGCCGGAGGGTGTCGGCGACTGAAACGCCGGCGCGGAGCACCATCAGCAAGAGCATACGAGAAGGATAACTGCTTCAAACCGTGCACAGGTTTTGGAGAAGATCGATTGCGCGGGACCGCAAGGTGGGTTGACAAAGTTGTTTTCCTCTCCTGTCACAGTTGGTGTAGGTTATTACTCTGAATACCCCCGAATATGCTGTGAATGGCATGGACAAGAGGAATGAAAAATGCCTGGCCCCGTTTCCATGGAGCCCATTTTTTCGCCGACCGGTACCATTTTGCCTTGGATTGTCACATTGGTCTCGGCCAAGTTTTTCCATGCGATTCTCCAACAGTGTCGTGTTGCCCTAAAATGCAGAGGTACGGTATCAGATGCATATCGGTTCCCCTCGATGAGGAAGCCACGTCGAAGCCGAAAGAGAATCAGATATTTGGCGACGACGCCCCGCACTTTCATACTTCTCATGCGATCCAACCGGGGCAACATGTGCATGGGTGTGAGGACTCGGTTTCACACAGAGACTTTGGACACAGAATACCTTCCATATGAATGTCATGGACAACAATGAAGAGTAAAATTTCCCACGTATGGTTACGACAGTGAATCACTCTGTCTTAAAGGGGTCGGCGGCGGGACGTGCGACACCGATAATAATACTGCCTAGGCATGTCGTCGGCAATGAAAGAGTGAACTTGGTCAAGCCAAATTCGGTGGAGCTCAACTTGTTCAACGACTCACCATTTTCCTTTTGGGCCTTCATGAATATCGGCAATAACGTGTCACTTTGAATCGAACGATGACTTTCACGATAGCTGGGGGCAGTGGGAACAAAGAGAATTTTCTGCAGTTTCGTGCCCGTTGGAGATGTTTCGGAACTTTTCGCACGTTGTCGATACCGCTGAAGTGAGGCTGTGGCCACGTCCTTGGCCGTATTTCCTAACCGCATGTTCTCTCTTTGGCCAAATGGCGGCTTTCGTGACAGCTGGAAGCCGTAGGAATACAGCAAAGTTGGTTTCGCACCCATTGGAGGCGATTTCGGAACGTTTCGCACCATGTCATACAGAAGGCGTATTTACAACACTGCCGAGCTGGTGCTGTGGCCACATGCTTGTGCAACAGTTTGAGGCCGTGGCAACGCAGTTTAATTTATTTCGATCGTATTGAAGGCTACTCAGGAAAGTTTCACGCGGTGTCGAAAATAACGAAAATAACCTGACTTACGACACCGCCGAGGTGGTGCTTCGACATCATTTTGGGCCATATCTCGGCAACCACTTGTCACTATGTGACGAACGAGCGCTTGCGCGACAGTTGAGAGCGTCGGAGCTCAAAAAGTGTGTCTTCGAAGCATTTTCTACGGTGTCACAAATACTATTTAGGACACCGATGTCGTAAATAGATACTCCGTTAATTGTGCCTCGGAAAGTCTGTAATTAGATGGTCGTATGCATATGTGAACTGTTATATCTTAGGTGCTCTGGGCTCTACGAAACCCACCTCTCAGCAGGGACCTCAAACGCCCGCACCGGTTCGCCTTCAACGCCCGACCTACTATTGTTCTCTACTGCAGCGGTGTCGTCCAACCCGACGCCCACCGCCGTGAGCAGCTCTAGGTGGTTGCCCGGCGGCGAGATTTCACGAATCCCCCCGCCACCTGTTGCGCTTCTCCCAGCGCCGCCCCGACTCCCCCGACTTCGGTCATCCGACTTGGCCTGCAGCTGCGATGACATCTCGTCCACCATCTCCTGCATCTTGTGCAAAGAACTTCTGATCCAACCGTCTCTGTGGATGGGTGGCGTTGTGTGGCGGTCGTCACCACCACCAGCACAAACGTTATATGTCACGCCTCGCTGACCAATGTTGCCCAATATGACGAGCTCCCGAAGGACCCACCGCTGTACAATGTAGAGTGTATAATCTCATGTTTGTAGACAACATGTAAAGTGTAATCTCATGTTTGTAGACAATGTGTCGTTGGACCATAAAGGAGTGTGGCTAACCACGCCAATTAGATCACCGGGAGGCGAGATAAAAGCACAAGGGAGTGGACGCACCATGTCCCGAAGGGGCGCGAGAACATACGCCAAAGCTGGCGACTCTCTTGCACTCGTCAGTTCAACAGTTAGTTTTGGAGTTGTGGTTGAGTGTAGGTAGCAGCAGCAGTAGACTGTGTACACGAGACCAAAGCCACCAGCCGCACCATCATCATATCAGCTTTCCAGCCCTCAGGCAACACCACGGCGCTAGGCCTCACTAGGCCTACACACCCCTGAATCCTAGCCCTAGCCCACACCCACACCCACACCCCCAAGCTATTGTGCAGTGTGTAGGCCTGGGCCGCTGTACCGAGCTACTGGAGCGCGCTCCCGCTCGCCATCAGCCTGTCTGGCGTATTTGCGCCTCGTCTGGTCCGCAGGCGGGGTAGACTAAGCCCGAACATATCTATGTCCGCTATGTCCGAGGAATAAAAACCGCAACCAACCGGTACATCTAGCCTTTTCGATGCCAACACACATGCCAACAAACGAGCAGCAGCACTTCGTGTATCTATGTACAGGAGTACGGAAGAGCGTACTACCGTAGCTGGATTTCTTCATCTCAAAACGATCATATTTTTAATTTCAAAATTCCAAACGGCTTGCGGGACCGCGATCCTGACCGCGATCGACAGAGGCGTATCTCTGCTTGTGAATCTGGTTCCATAAACGAGGCATGATCGTGCCCTTCAGAGCGGACAATGCCGTTGGCCATTGCATGCGAGCGCTAGCCCATGTTCGCCAATGCTGGCCCGGGCACGGGCGAGCTGCTGTGTTGTACCCACCTACCACTAAGTTTGTCTGTTATGACGTTCGGCTACAACCACGCGAGGGAGACACGGATGATGCACATCCGGTATCCGTCCGTGTCAGCCGTAAAAGGATATGTAAACATGCACTCGTCTACATGCACTCGTCTCAGCCGTGAACAAGCACAGTCTTCAGCTCGCATGGTAGGGCACAAATCCAAAGGTGATGGTGGACTCCTTACGGTCTCGTGAGCTCCCCCGCCACAGGCAGACCTTTTTTTTATCTCGTTGCGGCGAGACTTGCCGCAATGATCCAACTGGACATGCCACCCTCTGCTGGAACTTCAGCGCTGTCTAAATGTCGATAGAGTACCTCAAATAGGGTTGCAATGTTGCAATGGCGTCAACGTGAAGAGGGTGCCTCAGAGATTCTTTTCGGTGTTGGCGTAATACGAGATTCAAACTACAGCCGGCTTGTCCCATCATATTCCGCGGTCTCCAAAGACTGGACACCCCATACCTTGTGTGCAAGAGGCAAGAGGCCCCACGGGGGCTCCGTACCACCATAACCACAGATAACATTTTTCAGTCCGCGTGCTCTCTTGCTCCCCCCCGCCCGAGAGACCGAGAGAGTGAACCTCCTGTGACGGAGCAGGTTGAACTCACAGCTCAGCACACACGCTAAACGAGCAGGGTTGGAGCAATTGGGACTCTAGATGTGGACCGGAGAGAGCAAGAAGAGGCCGACCGTGTCGCTCAGGGGAAGGAGCAAAGAAGAAGACCGGGGAGAGTTTCTGCGAAGGGCGAGGGTAAGGGTTAAGGCAATGTTTGGTCTGTTGTCACTTCTACATTGTAGATCGCTGTAGACTGCTGTTTAGGTCTACAGGAGGCAGGTACATAGCACCAGCAGGCACGGAAAATATGCTGTAAATTGAAGCTCGTTGCCAGTTGGGGAGTGGTGGTGGCGGAATTTGGTTTGTGCGCCTGACTGTGCGTCAACGAGATCTCGCATGCCTCGCAACTGCTACACCTCGATGTACTCCTGTACATACTGTGGATCACCACACGGCTTCGCGAGAAATGGGCTTCTAGATGCCCGTTCGGTGGAAAAACTCCCGGGAGTGGGGAAGACGAAGTCCGATCTACTCTCACTGATGTATAGTCGTATCCAGAACAGGAGGGGTACTGGGCGGGCTCACTTGATGTGCTGCTGTGGTACTGCAGTACCCCACCTTACCTGTAGTTCAACCTGAACCTGTGGAAGGTTGGGTCCTTTGGTTGGGTTGGTCGTGTTCCCGCCCCGTTGTTTTCCCCGCGCCAGCGCGAGGCTTCAGACCTTGGAGCTCAACCCCAGCTCAACGCATGGAATGAGGGGTAAAGACGGCTGCGCATCACCGTAGTCGGGCGGTTATATGCCACTTGGGAAAAAAAAAAGCGATTTTGTCGGCGGTCATTTGTAGGGGGTTGCTGTGGTCGCTTCCGAGGAATTGTCCGCATCTCTCCGCTACTCTCCGAAAAGACGATACGTACTGCGTGTGCACCTGTGCTTGCGTGCTACGGCGCCGTTAAATTTCGCATCCTTTCCGCAACCAAAAATGAAGTCCGCGTGTCTTTGTCACGACCTGCGTGTGAACTGCAGCACCGTATACGACACAAGATAACTCACCCACGTAAGATAAGAGACCCACAGAATACCACGCCAGTTTTCTAATATTTGCGTTGTTGTACACCGTGGAACCGAAATACCACCCGGGTTACACAAGATATCACACCCCGTGAGGTTCGGACGCATGTGAACACGGAGCCCATGTCACCCCGGCGATGACTCAGCAAAGGTTCCTGATGACATGCAAGATGGCCCAGCAGGGAACATGGGTAATAAATACACCCTTTGAGTGCGCACCCCACCCCGTACGCCGTCCTTGAATCAAACCACTCACATATCCTCCGCCTTTATTGCATGGTACCACTTTCTTTGTGCCAGGCGGTAGTGATGGATGAAACCTCTTTTCATTGCTTCATGGCAGGTCTCTCTTTCGCTGCTTCGAGAGAGCGCTGTTGGCGTTCTTGCCGGGGATATGTGTGTAACACCTACCCCGACCCCGGAAAAAAATACGCTCGGCAGGAACTTCAGTGTGTTGTCGGTGCTATCACCCCCGCTCAGTCCCATACACCCGCAGTGCGGTGTTATTTTCAGGCACCCCACGCCCCCCGTACGTGTGGCCGAAGGCACGGTAGGTAGTTCTTCGCAGGCGGTGTTAACACACGCCCTAGTTTCCGCACAAGTGGAGTCCCTGAAAGTGTGCGATTGTGATATCGCACCCCCTGGTTACTACACCCCCTTCATGGCTCCTATGATACGACCTGCATGTTATCACCCGGGCTACACAAGATAGCACACCCCTCACAGAATACAACACCCGGTGATACTTTACTTGAAAGCTAAAATGTGTCCCGGGGTGTATTGTCTTGTGTCGTATACGACAACGGTAGTTTTCACATCGCCACCGCGCCAAACTGCTTTGTTTGATCCGACAACATGTGGGCAGCAGTGTACGCCCACACTCAACAACTTGGCGGTACTCCATGCCCAATCAACATAATATGAAAGCATTATAACTTGAGCACCATTTGTGAGGCGCACTACATGTGTGACGGTCTTGTAGCCTATCCCTAGGAACTAAGAACCCAAGCCTCGGCAAGACTAGGGGTTCTGAACTGCGGGCGCTGACGGCAGCTGTTCCTGTCGCCTGGTTTCCCATGTGCCTGCCTGCCTACATGCTTTTCTTCAGGCCCAACGGGAGGGGCGGGCGCGTGAGCGGCTCCACGTCTCCAGCGCGACAACAATCCAGAAGGTTTGGAGGGGAAGGTGCGTGAGTCATTTTTCACGTTCACAGCGACCTGCCCATACACCTGTTCCCCGTTCACCCACACCTCGCATCAGCCTGCCCGCGGCATCGGAACACCAAGGCTGGAAAACGCTGTCTAGTACACGCATTGAACGCGGTACTGATTTGCTGAACTGCACCAATGGTTTCGTCTGAGGGGAACAGACCACCTATCTCCGCCAAACAGAGATTTCGCAGCGCCAGAGGAAGGGTCTTTTGGTGTCGTGCTGTCTAGACGCGGGGTTACACCGAAACCAGAGGGCAGCTGCAAGCCTCAATAGCGTTTGGTGCCTCTAGGAGCAACTGTCATCCAGAAGTAGCAGTTTTCCGCTGGCGGCCGGGGTCGTTTCACAGTAGATAGCAGGCGCCGCAACCGAAAGCTACAACACTAGACTTATCGCGCTCCCCGAGACACCGGTAAACATGTGAGGGGCAACTCGCTATTGCTGTCGTCGTTCCAGTCAGTTATGTCTGTTGTCGTCGCCACCCTTGTGCTTCGTCCCCCCCCCCCCCCCCCCACTTGGCCTTTCTCGGAAAGGTCATGCGTGGGAAAGTGGCGGCAAGACGAGCGCGATGCGTGGGACAGGAAAATGCACGACGTCGGTCGAGTCAAGGCCATGCTCGCCGCGGCAGGAAAGGCGTTGCAGGTGAAGGCAGGCGAATGGAGATTTTTAGCGGGCGTGCACGGGGTTGATGTGCGTGGCTAGGTCATCCACGTGGAAACAAATGTCTTTCGGCGTGTTTGTGACGGGGGGTGGTATGTCAATGGTGCATCTATTCCGGCATATTATTCCAGCACGGACTTGGCGTTCACAAGATATAGTAGTGCATACCCGGTGCAGCAGTACAATACCAAACACTTGGTGCGACTCTCAGCGTTGTATCGACCCATGGTGTGATTGCCTCGCATCACCCCTGTGGCATTTTGTACCCCAGATTTGCCACCAGTATGGAGTGCAACGTCGTCCGGGTATATAGGTGCCCTCTAGGTCTGTGCTGCATCTCGCGAAACCTCCCACCCGCACCCCCCACCCCCCCCACTCCGCCCTGTTCTCTTCTCGCTCCCACACCCAACGCAGCTCCCACCAGCCGTTCTCCAGTCCTTACTCTCTCAGCTGGTCCACTTCCACGCCTTCCCGAGCGATGCTGGCCGATTTCGCGCCGCCATGGACCTGGTGCTCGCCGCCGCCCCCGCGAGCGATAACGCCACAACCCCGGGAGGCGCAGGTCTCTTCGCAGCTCAGCCGGCGTCTTCCAGCGGCAGCGACAACGACCGGCTCTTGGGGGACAACACGTGGTCGCTGCTGGTTACCCGGCTAGGGGCGGTGTGCCTGCAGTACATGAGTCAGGTATCGGCAACGGCGGCGGCGGCGGGGGGGCGGTCGCGGAAAAACGGCGCGGAAAGCCGGGATATCGGCGGCGGCGGCGGTGGCTGCGAAGGAGACGCAATGGACGATGCTGAGGGCGCGGAGGGTGCTGTAGTGGCCGGGGCGGAGTCGGCCGAGGTGGTCGATGCCGCGGAGGTGGCTATGCGGGGATTCGCGCTGCTAGCTTCCCCGGCAGCTTGGCGGCATCGATGGTCGCTGTCCGAGCCGGTCGCTGTCAAACGGCGTTGCCGCGTGTTTCTTGCCTCGCTCGCGCTCGGCAGGGTGTTGATGAGGACGCGGAGCAAGACGGGGGAGGAGGCGGGGCCTGGAGAAGCGTTAAGGAAACCCTCACCAACAGGAAGAGGAAGAGGAAGAGGAAGAGAAGGTCTTCGGTTGTCGCTACGGACGGAGAGGGAAAGGGTCGGCGGCGAGGGGAGTCGAGCGCCGACGCTCTTCGGAGTCCTCCGCGTCGCGTGGGACGCGGCAGTAGCGGAGGCCGGCGGGGGGGAGGGCAGAGCGACGCAAGCGGTGCGGCTGCTGTGTGCGTCCTCCTTCCAGATTCTCGGGATCGGCGTCGCGGAGGACGGGGAGAGCACGGCGCGCATCGAGACCCGTCCGATGTCGTCATCAGCGGTAGCTGGAGGAGGAGCAAGAGCGGCTGCCGGGCCAGGCGGCGCGCACGAAACGGCGGTGCCGGACAGGCGACGGCTGCTGGAGGCGTTTGCGGCCGCCGTTCTGCCGGCACCGAGGCTGCTGGAGCACCCCTTGAGGGCGGCCCTGATGGACCCGATGTTAGGGGGCGACGGGGTGGCGTGGTGGGAGTTGGTGTCCGTGGCAGGGGAGGCCGTCGGGGCGGGGGGGACGGGGGGGGGTGGCGGCGCTGCTGCCAGGAGAAGGGATGTCGCGTGGGCGGTCGCGAATATATTGGAGGTGAGAGAGATGCCGTCGAGTGCGTTGGTGACTTCGGTGGTTGTTGTTGGAGAGTCATGATTTGTTTTTGTCTACCACAGGTTGTTTCTCTCTCACAAGAGTTGAACTTGATGGGTGGCCGAGTTTTTCGGACCGCCTTGTCGAGGATTTTATTATTCATCTATGAAACGGGGAGGGGGGTTTCGTATCCCTATCCCTAATCCTTTCCCCCAACCTCACCCCGTACCCCTACCAAAACCAAGCTTGACTCCGCGCGAAGGCTACTGATTTTTTCAGGTGACATAAGCATGTTTTTGTCCGTGGTCGTCGCGGCTTTGGTTCGGTTGTGTGTTTCGGTACCAGCATTCACACGGAGTTGTTGCTTTCTTTTCAAGCAATCTGCCCTTATAGGGTATAGAGGATAGCGATTGGGTCCGTTTGGACACATTGCGTTCACACTACATTCACGGTCACCGAGACGAAAGAGACAGCTGCGTCCTTCTCGCTACAGTAGTACGCAACGTTACGGCAACCACCGCAGAGGGAAGGTGGCCAGAACGAGCAAGAACCCAAATAAGTGTCTATGCTGTTGTGAGCATGTCGTTAGCCAAGATTTGCTAATTCTCGTCGAGGTAGGTCATGGGTCGTGTGCAGTTTCTCGCCAAGACTGCTGTGGGTCTTCCCCAACAGAGTGTCACAGGGTAGTCTATCCCGAGGGTGAACGGCTCGTGTTTTTTCCACTCTTGACGGCGAACTGGAGTGCACACACGCCATGCTTCTGCTGCAGCTGCTGCTGCTGCTGTTGCTTGCTCCACTCCTAGGTTCTTGCGGCCTCGACAGCAGCGCGTCAGCTCCGACAAATGTAGCGCACACTGATAGTATTGTAGTCCTTGTCTAGATTGCAGTAGGCACCAAGTGTTTTCTCGGCCAAATCTTCTTCGCTTGCTATCAGCACACCTCGGTTCGGACGGACTCTTTTGCATACCCTCAAAGGTATGCTGCAGCAGTCCGTCCGCGTAGGAAATTGTTTCTCCCCTCACCCACGGATCAGAACAGGTCGCACGTTTTCGGCCACACGGCAGCAATGTCCCGTGATGTTCCTCGCTCGCGCCCGCCTGCCTCACTTTGCATATATATCTCTACGCCTCTTGTTTACCCCCTCGGAACTTGTGCACCGCCGCCGCCGCCGCCGCTGCCGTTCGCGTAGGTGGACACGGGTAGCAGCGCGGAACGCGCCCCGTGCCTCGTGCGAGCCCTATGCAGACTGCTGCGGAAGGTTTCCCTGCACGCCTTGCTACAGGGGGCGGGGAGGACGGGGGCGGCGGGAGCGGGGGGCGCTGGGAGGCAGATGGAATCGCCGGAGGTGAGGTGCAAAATACTATCCTCCTTTGAGCAGATAACGGGCGCCGGTACTATAATGTGTTGGGGCCGAAGGGTTGGCCCGAGTTGGACGTGGCGGCCAGTTTTCGATGTCTTCGATGTCGTGTGTGTCTCCGCGTGCCTGTAGCGGCTTCCGCTGGCCAGGGAGGCAAACGGCTACCGGTTGTGTTCGAGTGGAAACCCGCCGTTCAACCGGGGGGCGGTGTGACGGTGTTTGCCCTATTTGGATCGGGGGTGACCTCCCGAGGGGGACGGGGTGACATTTAGGTACCCGGAAGGTACTGGCGTATGGTCGTCCACTCTTGGCACATATTATTTTTTGTGTGTCTCGTTGTGGCGCGTTTGCGAACCCCTCTCCGGGTGAGGTTTCCTTCCGTCCGGCGGCAGCGGCGGTGCTTCGGGGGGTATCAGGGGACAACCGGCGAGGAGAAGCCTGATCAGCTTCGCCCTTGGACCCGCTCTTTTTTTTTAGACTGGTTGGTTCAAGGTCTCACCTTATCCGAAACCCCGCCTGTCCTACCGGTGTTTATGCCTGTGACTTTTCTTGTTCCGAAAAAGCTTACGGACGATGACGAAGACGACGACGACGTCGCCATGGACGAGGCGTTCTCGGGCGCGGCGTCGGAGCGAGGCGGAGCGAGGGCGGCACCCAGCGGCGGCGGCGGCGCAGGAGCGAAAGACGACTTCGGCGGCGGCAGGGACGTGCGCCTCGAGGCCATCGTGCGGCGCCACCGTCGCCGCTGCGCCATGCGGACCGAGTCGCTGGCGGCCCACCAGCAATCGCTACGCGAAACGAAGGGCTCCTCCCGGGGGGGCTACTCGAGCGGTTCGAAGCGGTGTGTAAGCGGCGGCGGCGGTGACGAGAGGGAAAGTGCGGCGGCGATGGTGTTCGAGGAGATCGAGGCGATGGCGGCGGCGGCGGGGAGGCTTGCCGACCCCGTCGTAGTCGGCAGGCTTTTCGACAGTATCCTTCCCCCCGTTGCGCGGAGCTCGTCCGAGGGGCAGCAGACCGGCCTCGGCGGCGGCTCTCGCGCGGAGGCGTCTTCGAAAGCTCAAGCCGACCCCCGGGGGGGCAGCGCCGGGGCGGAGAGCCGGAGCGCGCTCGCCGGCGACGCAAAGGGCGATGACAATGACGACGACGACCCCGTCCTCGCCCTGTGCTCGTTGTACGCGGACCTGGTCATGGACGGGGTGAGAGCGGCCGGGTCCGCCGCGGCCGCCGCCGGCGGCAGTAGCACCGCTGCGGGAGGCTCCTCCGCGGCCGCCGGAAAATCGGCGGTGGCGCCCGGGAAGTCGGTGCTGAACGCGCTGGCCTTCGGAAGGCCTAAGGCTCCGATCGCCGCGCGCCTGTGGGGCTACCTCCAGCGGGGGCAAGACCTCGCGGTGTACGCGAAGAGGGGGGCCGGCGGCGGCGGCGGCGGCAGCGACCGGGGAGGGGCGGGGAACAAGGCGGGAGGCGGAGGGATGCAGTCGGCCCTGTTTTTGTTCTGCTCGGCGTGCAGGTGGGTCGGTGGGCGCGGGAATTGTTTTTTTGGGGGGTGAACGAACGAATCGATTTTTGCTCTTTCATTTTATGCTCTCCTCCTTTGTCAGCCTTGAAGGAAGCCGGGTTATATACATATTTTTTTTCCCTGCGTGTAGTGCAATGGAGGGTTTCGTAGTGATGCTCGCGGGGGCGTGGCCGCGTGTCCTCCTTGGTGCCCTGTGTTTGGTGGGGTTTCTCGACGGACGTGCTATTTGGCGCGCAACCGGCGGCGGGAATAGTTGAGTTTCGCTTGGGTATTGCCACCGCCGGCGTTTCGATTGAACAGATGTTCTTGGTTGGGGAGTGTGACCGAAACGTAAAATTATGGCTCTCTTCGCGGCGACGGTGGAGAGTTGTTCCTACTGTGTCGGCAGTCGTCGCTGTTCCTAGTATATTGCTGCAAGCTTGTCACCAAGAGTGAGACCAACTTTCTCTCCCCGGGAAGGCCAGCATACTCAAGGCCCCCCTTAACGGGGCTTCACCGTCCGTCAATCAGTCACCAAACCCTCGTGTCCTTCTTGTGGACCGTCCCTCGCTGTCGCCGCTTTCCGCCCGACGTTTGTTCCGATCGTCTCGACTACATTGTCAGCCACCAGCTGCTGGCGTTAGACGACGAGGAGTTCTACGAGAAGCAGAGGCCGCTGAAGCTCGAGGAGGTGCGCCAGCTCGCCGGTTTCCTGAAGGAGTGGCTTTGCCGGTGAGCTGCAATCACTGTTCTGTTTGTTGGCAGCCTTTTCATGGCTCGTGTGCCACTACTACCCCGATGAGAAGCCCGTTGGAGTGCGCATAGTAGAGTTCACCGACATCCAGTCTTTTTTTGGAGGAGAACTGCTCACGCGTGCCAGTACCCCCGCTAAGCCGCTGGAATACCGTAAGAGGTGGACCCCCGCCTGGACTGACGTACGAAGCGTGAGTGTTCCACAGCCAAGGGGGTGCGGATCGAGCCCGATAATTATACGGAAAGCTCTCGACGAGGTGTTTCCGAAAAGGACGCGACTGTAGGTGTACTGTATTTTTCTTACGCGTGCGTTCGATTGCTCCTCCTGCTCTCTCTCTCTTCCCGGACGCCTGCTGCGCTGTTGTTATCCCTGCCGCAAAACCCCATTGACACGACCTGTCGCGTTCTCCGTAACGTCAACCCCTCCCTTGAAATCTCCTCCTTTCATCCACCACGGCAACCCACCCACGATCTCGCCTCGGCAGGATGTACTTGATCGACCCGGTCATCCCGCGGCTGCGGGAAGATGGCTTGCCGTCCGATCCCACCCTGGCCCTTCGGCAATGCGAGGACCACCTCAGGGAGGCGCTACTGCTGCTGTCGGCCACGAGGCTCTTCAACCAACTCTACGACCGCAACACCAGGTGTGTCTTCGCTGCTGACCCAACTAGAGTAGTACTGCTGCAGGTGACATTTGATACCATGGGCCTACCTTCACAACGCCGTTACTCTGCAGCAGCAAGCACGGCAGTGAAGGTGCCGAAAATGGCGGCAACACTGGTCCGCTCAGTACCCTCTGTTGTCCGTACCCCGGTCCGACTGACGCGAATGCCTTCCTTGGGTCACAAGCCAACTACCCCAAAAGGGGGTACACCTTTCTAGCACAAGAAAAAAATGTGCAATATGTAACACCTTCGGTGCTTTTTCCGTAGCGAAAACGGTAGTAGTATGCTACTGTAGCGTGGTGAGGGCGTTTAGCAACAACCAGCACATGTTCATCCCCGCTGGGATTGGTTACGCTTGGCTGGGTCTCGCAGCGTGGTTGTGTTAACTTGAGGCCGCAGCATTACATAGAGGCGGCCTGTCGAGGGTTGGGTGAGCGTGTTGATTGGACTTGGAGCTGCCGCCCTCCGCGCAAACCTCCCCGACAGTGCGTGCGTATCCTTCTCGGAGCAACCACTTGTGGTTTTCGAGACCCACCTACCTTGAACCCTGCCCGCGTGCTTGCCTAAGTAGGGTCCGAATTTCGAGGGTTGTGTGCACGTCTGGTGCGTGCGTGCCTTGCCGGAGGTGGCGTCTTGCGGTTGTCGCTGCGGGCCGCGCCGTGTGTCTGATCATGGCGTAACCCTGCGACGGGCCACGAGCCCATCAGTCATATCCCTATCTGCGCATCCGACAACGTCCCACCCGCGGCCGCTGCTTCCCTGCACACGTCGTTCGTTGTCCGGCAGGCGGGAGTTTTTGAAGGCGGAGTCTTGGTACTGGAAGGCTATCTCAGCGGTCGACCTGTCACCTCCCGACCAAGGTCGATACGATCATCGTATGCATACGTACATGCTTCGGTGTAGCCGGCTGTTTTTCTGAAATCCAAACGCTTCAGTGCACCTCACGTCGTTTCTCGCCCTCGCCGTCTTGTTTTAGTTTCGTATATGTATCGCTTCCTCGTACGAAGCCCACCCGCGGGCGCTCCTCCCCGTAACCAGTGCCGTTTTTTTTTTTCGTGGGTGATTGTATGCTGTTAACGACGACTGCTGTGCCTCAAAATACATATTTCGGTCTATTGCTTTCCCCCTTTCCCTCGTGCGTCCGGCGTCTTATTAGCGTGTCATCTTCGTGTCGAACCATCCCGTCGTTCCATCTAACCCACGGGTGGTACGCGGGGGAGGCTGACACGAAAGGGGGATTTTCGCGGAACGCGATGCGAAAAAAAGATAACGGTGTTGTGTTCCACACCCGCGGTGCTCGAGGCTGCAGCCAGCAATCGCGGTAGTCACTTTTTCCCTTTTTTGAGGGCAGGACCTAAGAAATCACCCGGAGTATCAAAAGTTGCAGAAACGCGTCGAAGAGTGTACCGTCATTCGGGAACAGGGAATGCGGGGTAGCATCCCGTACGACTCCGTGTAACCCCTCTTTTTGTCTCTTTTTTTTTTTTTTTGCAGGTGACCCAAGGGTGGCGTTCTTGAGCAAGGGAAACCTGGGCATGGTCCTCGCCAACATTCCTCAGGTATTTGGTGTTTTCAATGCTGGCATGTTTGAGCAGCGCGGTGTTGGCGTTAAGGCAATGGAGATGGATAGCGGGCTTCAAAGAGAGAGAGCGGCGGCCGGGCGACGCTGCGCTTTTTTTGGGCTACTTGTACCGGTAGCACCGCGCTCAAGCGAGAGAGATGGTCTCGCTCGGCCAGTGGGCGCATAGCGCACGCCTCGAGATCTCTCTCGCGCGCCGGGCCGTCGTTATCATGAGAATCATCATCGTCAGTAGCAACGGTCGGACACGATTGGGACCGTTCCTGATTTGCGCCAATGGGCGTGGCCGTTGTGCGTGGACCGCGCGCGCCCCGGTCCGACAGCCAGTGGCTGCGGACCGAGCGTTCTCTCTTTGGTTTTTTATTGCACACGCGTTATCGCGATGGCTGCGGACCAGCGTTTCCTCTTAGTCCTGCTTGCTTTGTCGGCGGTGTCATCCACCCTTGCGTTCCGGTCTCTTTTGTTTTATGTTTTTTCTGTTCAGGTGGTACCATTCTTTCAGCGGGTGGGAATCTTCCGCCAGATGATCGACGCCGAGAGAGAGGAGCACCAGGGGAGCTTGGCCTTCGCCCGGGTAAGTTTTTTCCTTTTTGGTGTTGTTGTTGTTGTGCTCTGTTTCAAGCGATTCGCTCATGCTGTATACCGGTAATTGCCGGTAACCAAATGGGGAGGTACGCATACCGGTAAACTGCCGGTAACCAAATGGAGAGGCAACCGATTTTAACGCGGAATGTTTTTTCGCCTGTCCCCGGGGTCTACTCAGCGGAGCCCCCTTGCACAACATCGTGAACCAAGAGTGAGGTCACTCATTTCACGGAGGTTCAAAACTAATTTAGAGAGAGAACAGTGAGAAGCCGGAGATGATTCCGACGGACCTGAGCTTGAGAGGATTTCGAGTCTAGGTATCTCTACAGGTCAGTCTCAGATGAACGCTGCTGTCCTGGCTGTTGTGTTTCGCGCCCACTTGCCGTCACGTGTCCAGGGCTCTTCGCGCATACGCGTCAGCAGAGACTCCCTCTACGAGGATTCGGCGGAAGCACTCACCAAGCTAGGTATGGGTGTACGTGTTTACTTTATTTTGTCAGCACGAGCGCGCTAACTGGCTGACCGTCAAGAATACCTAATCATCGGCACAATATTCTCCAACACCATTTTCCGTATTTCTTTTTGTGCTTGGTTAACGCCCGCAGCGCTGCTATTATCGACTTGGTCACGGCTTGACGTTTAGGGCGGTACAGTATTGCGCCAGTCTTTGCGTGCGGCCGAGAACGTTTGTGGGTGCGTGTGCATCCCCGTACCAAGTGCAGTACGCAACATTCAGTCGTGTCTGTATATATATGTGTTTTTTTTTTTTTTTTTTCTCCCGTCATTGGACTCTGTCGTCTGCCCCTCTGGCCCCTATCCTCCACTTCTACCAGCTAGACGACCCAACCGGGATCACATAGGAGGGGGCCTCCTGCGGTTCCTGCCTGAGATATTATATTATCGCGAGAAGGGTACAGCAATCCCTTCCCTCGCGACTTGTTAAGCCGATCAAGTTTACTAACAACTATGTGAATGTGTGTATGTCAGTCGTGTGTATGATATGCGCTACGTGAACGTGGTGTAGGGGTGTGATTGCTGGCTGTAGCGTTATTGCTTGTTCCGCGGTCTCTGGGGTAGAGCGCGACTGTGGCTTTGATGACCCGCTTTTTCTACTATCCGTTCGTTCTTGTTACGAGCGTCCTTCGGCGTTGAGAACGGACGAATTGCGACCGCCTTGGCTGCGTCAACAAGTGTGCGTGAGGAGGGTTGCCGTACTCGTACGCGATTAGACTTTTTTCTCTGCCTTCAACGAAACACTTCAATACCCCACAACAACCTTTTGTTCGTCCTGCTCCTGCTGTTTTTGTGGCGTGCTTGTGTGGTTGGCTTCCTTTCATGGTGGTGATGGCGCTCTCTGTCCCAGAACCAGCAATACCCATGTCACTGCACAGGCGCTCAATTCCGGGCGTCATCGCCTCTTCACCCGTTACTTTTCTTTGTTGGTTTCAAGAAAGTCACTTCGTGCAACGGTCACCCCCCCCTCCCCCCCCCCTCCGGGTATGCTCCTACGCCAGGATCGTTTCTGAAGGGAAGGATCCAAGTGACGTTCATGAACCAGCACGGCGTTGAGGAGGCCGGCATCGACGGAGGGGGCGTTTTCAAGGAGTACATGGACCTGCTCACAAAGAGGGCCTTCGACCCGCAGTACGCTCTCTTTGTCGCAACACAGGACCAGGTTTGTGCGGCGGGTGGTTCTATGATAGTTTGTCGTTTGCGGAGAATCTACGGCGGCGCTATTTGGCTGACCAATGAGAAGACGTTGTAAAGTCTTGTCGCAGAGCGTATTGCACAACCAAGCTTCTAGTCTGCAGAACCGGGTATGCGTGGGGCATTCTGTAAAAGTTAGCACTGATCGGGACAACCGACTGGCCAATAAGAATGCGCGAGTCATTTACGGGATTGTCGAAACGTCACAGCGGGTCTCGTGTGTGCGTACGTACTGTGAGTGTCGCAATGTTTTTGTTGTGTACATGGTCCGTCTGGATGCACGTTTCTCTCTTCATCGTCTTGTGGCGCTTCAACGTATGGTGCTATCATACATGTGTGTGTTTTTCTTTTGTCGATCGTTGACTGCTGTTTGGGCATGCACTCGGTTGTTTTTGGAATAGCACCTGATTGTGAGAACCGTTCCCGTCCCTGTTGCGTCTTGTATTGCTCCGCTTTACTCCGCATTCTGTTTCGTTGCCGCCGTTGCCGCCCGACAGTACCTGTTCCCGAACCCCGCTGCATCGATGGTGGCGGACGACTACCTGTTCCACTTCGAGTTCCTGGGCCGAGTCCTTGCAAAGGCGGTGTTCGAGGACATCTTGGTGGAGCCGCAGTTCAGCCCGGTGTTCCTGAACAAGCTTCTGGGGAGGGTGAGCGCAGCGGTATACTATGTAACATGACGATCACGGCAAGATGTTTTTTTTCACTTGCGGATCCAATGTATCCGTGTGACCCCGGCTGGTGCTTCCAGAATCTGTATCGAAAGGTGTGGAGACGGACGTCACAGGGGTGTACAACAATGAGAAGAAAGTCCATCCGTGTGGTGTACCTACCGCCCACACACGGACGTTTTTTCCAGCCCTGGTTGTTGCCGATTTCCGTTTGGCTGGCAATGGAGTTTCGCGCCGGTCGTTCTCGACATGGTGTCGGGAGAGGGTGTTAGCTCGTCGATCGTGAGCTTTCATGAGTCGCAGTCCAGGCCTTAGGCCGTCTGGGCATTGCACCGTCTTCAGTGCTTGTATTGCGGAGTGCCCCTTGGGTTTCTCAACACGCTCACGAGGGAAGTGAGGGGTGTCGTAGATGCGTTGGCTGTCTTTTCCCCGCAGTCGGCGATTTGGCTGGAAAAAAACGTTATATTTACTGGTCGGGTTTTACCGCATTTTTTTTTTTCCCCGTTTCGGGATGATTTCCATGCTCCAGACTGCTGTCGCTTCGATTGCAACCAACAACTCCCTTTTTTGGCTGTCCCTGCGCGGTCCTCTCGAACCCCCGTCACCTATCGCTACTATTACAGTACAACTACATCGACGACCTGTACAGCTTGGACCCGGAAGTTTACCGGAACCTCATGCAGCTCAAGGTGAGCTGTTGAATCTACGTCTCTTAACGACCGCTGGAGCAGGTTTTTTTCTTTCGTTCCGTCCGGAGGTTCTCTGGGTTGCGTTTCGGTGTGACACAGTTACGGTTGCGGTTACCCGGCCGGGCTCCTTGTTCGTTGGGCCTGCCCGATTTTTCCAAGACTGCGGGGGGGTACAGTAATGCAGACGCATCGATGGAACTACCGCTAGGCACGTCCGGCGGAGGTAGAGGTGTTATCTTTCGCGCGCATTGTGGTTCGATTTGCGTGCGCACGACGACGCTAACCCCAAGTAGACCGTGCCAACGCGTTGTACTTTCTTTTTTTCCGTTCATACGTATTTCATGTCCGTGCGACTACTGTCGAGGGAGAAGTAGCTCGTTCCTTCGGGAGGAGCGAGGTCGTCGTTTAACATTGTGCCCGCCATGTCTGCCCCGTGTGGCCGACGTACGTACCGTGTGTGGCAGGGTATCGTCCACAGCGGTGGGGATGTGGCCGACCTCTGCCTTACGTTCAGCGCTAGCACCACCGCCTTCGGAGAGACGAAGGTACCGTGCACAGCATGTAGTATGTATGTGCTTCTCGACTATGGAAAGTATGCCACAAATGTACTTGGTATGGCAGTAGGGAGTCATGTTTTCGTAAACGCTAGTGGCACCGTTGTTACCGATGGCACGACAATTGGCAACGGCAGTGTGTAGCACCAGGCAGACATACCTTGGAAAGCGCTGGTGGTATCGGTTAACCCGACGCTTGTGATGGTGGCACGGCGGCAGGTGTGGGACCTGATCCCTGGTGGCCGCGACGTGGCCGTCACCAATGCGTCGGTGATCTCGTACATCCACCTGATGGCGCACTTCAAGCTTAACGTGCAGACGGCTCGGCCGTGCAAGGCCTTCATGAAGGGCTTCCGGTGAGCCAATAACCACGACTCCCCATGTGCTTCTGTATCGTGTCGAAATGTTGCGGTCGCGCGGGAATTGTGAAGGCTGGTGCATGGATCTTAACGCTTGAGGTATCGAACAGTTAGACTTTGCACGCATACAGTAGTGTGGATAAAGCTTCGGTTGCATGGGGCGGCCAAGATTGGGAAACCGGTAGCGTTTCGCCACCGGCGTTATTTTCACGAACGTGGAACAGCTTCCCGTTCCAGAAACGCCGATTCGCCCCTAGCAAATCCTGCAGGATTGACTTGGACGTAGGATGAGTAGGTGTGGTTTAGTCACCTAGCCGAGAAGACGTGACGAGCACCATGGCATCCTGCAGCCGGACACGCTGCAGATTAGCACTCTGCGTGGCACGACTCATCAAAGAGAGATTACTCGTTTGGGATATCGATACCCTGCTCGAAGGAAAGGTTTGAAGTCTATTCAGGGAAAATCGAAAGGGAACCCTGCTGGATACTGGACCTATTTGAGAGTTGTTTGAAGCCGTAGACTGAAACATCAGTGATACCTGCCCCAGTAAACATGCATACAGGTATTGATTTGAATCATATGATCATCTGTTTTGCGTTCGCTTTCACCATGCAGAGAAGCAAGTGCTGTGTCTAAACCCGACCAGGGCCTTGATTGTTCCTCAATTGCGCTATTTTTCGCTTTTTTTTTGTCGAACGTGGACAGGGACTTGATCCCGGTGGAATGGGTCCGGATGTTCAACCCCCAGGAGCTGCAGCGACTCATCGGGGGGGAGGGAGGGCGCGCCATCGACGTGGAAGACCTCAAGCGGAACACGCTTTACGCGGGGGGGTACCACAAAACCCAACCCGTGATGCAGGTGTGTGCTCCATGCCGTCGGTATGAGGGTCCGGCTTTGGTCTCGTACGGCAGTACACTCCAGTTACAGCCTGGTTGGCGGGGGGGGGGTCTCTCCCCCGCGTGAGGGACGCCTTCCTCACCCAGCATGACCACCTTGATTTTGACCTTAAGCCGTTTGTGGTCAAGGTTATGCCGCGGAGCTGTGTAATGTACTTACGCGCCGAGGAGTTTGCTCTTCTTGGACAAGACCATGTTTTCGAGATTGGTGCGGTGAAAGCTGAATGCAGCGATCCTCCATGTTGATTTCATCGACGTACCCCCCCCCCCTCCCCCAATCCCCGCAGTGGTTCTGGGAAGCGATCGAGTCTTTCAGCCCCGAAGAGCAGGGGCAGTTTCTCAAGTTCGTCACGTCCTGCTCGAGGCCGCCGCTGCTGGGCTTCGAGCGACTCAACCCCCCAATCTGCCTGCAGAGGGTCCCCGAGGGAGACGAAGGGAGGCTGCCCTCTAGCGCAACGTGCATGAACCTGCTCAAGGTGATTATTTGATTGCCAGGGTTAGGTCGACACGGGTGAAAGGCAGGCCTCATTTTTGTTTTTGCGGGTGTCGATTGTTTCTGAGGGTGGAAGGCAAGCCCTGTTTTTTTTTTTTTTGCGGTTGTCGATTATTTCTGGTAAAAGCGCGTTTCGAGAAGAGGGGGGCACGTTGGCTGCGTGAATCCGGCGAACGATCCTCGCAGGAGTGCGCGAAAAGAGCACGCAATGAGACGAGGAGGAGAGAGGGAGTGCCCATCCGTGCATGCATGAAGCTGGGTGCAAGTGGGCACGGGACAGCAGAGTTGAGCGTGTACTCTCGGACGCGACGAAGGTGGAGAGTGTCTCGGTTAGGGCTGTTCATTCCCAGATTTCGGGATCTTTTTGTGTGCAAGATTTGGGGACCTTTCGAGTGCAGAACTGTTCCTAGTTTGACCGCTTTTTTCATTGTCGTGGTCAATGCTCAACCCACCTTTCAACCCCGTGCCGATCCCACCTTTCTCTCCTCTTTCCCCGCTTTTTGCTCTCGGTTTCTTTTCTTCTGTTTGGTTTTCGCCGGCAGTTGCCCCAGTACGAAGACCGGCAGACGTTGAGGGAGAAGCTGCTCTACGCTATCAGCGCCAACGCTGGTTTTGAGCTCACGTAGAAGCCGCGCCGAAGGCCTTCTTGCTGAACACGGAGATCCCGGGGCAGTAGTCAAGAGCAGTGCTGGCCGGGTTCCGAAGATTCGAAACACGGAAAAAGCGGGTGTCTTTCTCCTTGCGAAAGGTTCTTGCAATCTGTGCTGGCCCCTCGTCAGACTCATCACCAAGGCACCGTGTTCGAAAGTAAACTCCGATTGACGATGCACAGCTTTCTTGTGAGCTCCCGATAAATGACGCACATGTTGGCGGCATCTTGCACGCTTTGTGTATTTGGGTGAAATCGCTGCAATTGTTGACTCTCCGTGTTTGACGGCCGGGTGTTTGAGGCATGACGTGGTTGGGTGCGGCCACTGCAACTATCGCTGCTCCTTGGTAGGCATATGCACCGGTCAGCGATGTTGACAGCCGCCACGTGACCCGCAACGGCTGATTTTGAACGCTGCGCGAGTCTCGTGCAAAAGTGGCGGTGACGGCGGCTTTGGTTGACGGCCTGGATCTGTTCTGTTCACCCCGTAGCGTGTTTCCGTGCAGAGTGTTTCGTATGTGTTGAATCCCTTTTTTTATTTCTGAGGAAGCATGTACTGCTGTAGACCTGTCTCTGAAAGTTTGGAGAAAAAAGACGGTGTTCGAGTTTCCACCTCACGTGTTGTGCATGCGCAGAGGGATGGTATGACCTGCCCCCCTCCTGTCCCCCGTCCTCAGCTGCTGCCCGCTGCTGTGTGGGGTGTAGGCATCAACTACACGCCCGTACCACGGCGTGTGTGTTGCGAGTTGAGTCTTGTAGGGTGAGATCCAGGCGATGATGGTGGTAAACAACGCTCAAGGCTACTCATTCGTCTATAGAACATAGCAGCAGGTGTTATTGTATTAAAAAGATGTAAGAGCTTGAGCACGGTTTGTGAGCTCGGATATGAGCCCTTACACTAAAACATAGGTATATTGCTAGACTAATTCGACCATTCGTAGGATGACCCGCAGTAGGAACTACGCGCGGTAAGAACCTCCATCCTCGGCCGACACTACTAGTGGTCGCGGGAGCGTCTGTACGGCCGTATGTACCCCACAAAGGGGCACATGACTCACGTTTACGGCGATATTACTCCACCGGCCGTGGCAGCTGCAGTATGAACCATTTCGGTGCCATGGATACCACGATAGTCATCATGCATCGGAGGAACACATCGTGCATATCCTTATCCTGTGCCATAAAAGAGGCTTGTGGCCTGTCTGCCAAAGGGACGAAGAGGGAGAACACTCGGCTTCCGCTCGTTGTTTGGGGCTGTGCGAGCACCTTTTCTTTCTCCCTCTCCTGACAGTACGTACGTGTCGACCGGAGCCTTATTGAGCGAGATCCAGGGGGTGGGGTAAGAAAGGCTATCTACCCCGTCCACCAGGTAATTGGGTTGTTGGGGTACCAGCTCAGTGGTGTCGGGGAGTTACTGACGATTTCTTGGATTGTTTCTTCCGAAAAAGAACGGTCAAAACTCACCGGTCAAGAGGTAAATTCTTATCCACCACGCCAATGGGTAGAAAACCCTTTGTTTGCCCCACCACCGGCAACACGACAAGACTTCAATTGACACCGGACATGAACGAGCGTGTTGCTGCGTTGCAGGGCTACGGTGAGATCCGTCCGTGAGATCTGTCCGTGGGTCATGAAATTGTAGGTGCATTTTTTTCTTCGCTACGCGGCGGAGGGGCTTTTTGTTCTAGTTTTTGTAGCGGTGGCCCTCATCAGCTGCTGGCTGTGCTATGTACTACTGCCTGCCCCGTGTGTGTGTGCACAAACTTCACACAGGCTGCCACCGGTGCTTACGTGTCGATCTGAGTTTTGGAGAGCGATATCACGGCGCGGTGGGATAACACACACACCCGACCGGTGGGGTATTCACACACCCGACCGGTGGGGTATTTCTGAGAAATGCCGTTTTCTTCTGAAGAGCCGATTGAAGAATTCTGTTCTTTGTTTTGTACAGAAGACAAATCTTTCATCGAACAGGTCTTCTTGAAACATGAATTTTTCAATTTTTCGTGCTAGGGATGCTCATGTCGCTCATGTTGCTCTCGACCTCGAGATACCCACAGGAAACCTGACTTTGGACGGAGGCTTAGTAGAACAGATAGCCGGGCATGAGGCAAGCAGATGTTTTCGCCCTTGGCAGAATGGACAGAACGTTCCATAGAATGAAGCGCCCAGAGCGTAACTCATCCTGCAGCTAGAGGCTCTCATCCAGTCTCTCTGCATACTATTGCTATATTATCAGTGTATGAGAAATATTCATCGATAATTTTTTTTTTTGAAAAGGTGGAGGAATAAAATAAGCCTATCACAGGCTGTCACGAGCGAGCGGTGATTCTTGGGGGATAAGCATACAACGCAAGTACCCAAGTAGCACCGCCCAACGCCGTCATCAACTGCAGCGCAGTACTGCTGCTCCTGCTGCTGCTGTACAGGTCCAACCACAGACAGAATATTCCGGGCTCTGCCATTCCCATTCATCTTGGCCTGGACAGCGGACAAACTACGGGTACGCAACCCACAACGTACCCTTGCGACAAACCAACCGAGCATCCTGGACACAGCAGCAGCAACAACAGCAGCAGAGAGCGGCAAGGACGAACGGAACCAGCGCAGCCCGAAGTTGAGCTTGGAGATTCCACTTTGAAGGAACAACGAGGTGAGCGAACAACGGATGGGGACGATCGCAAGGGTTACAATGGATCCCGCCTTCCCGCTGGTGTGGGCGAACAACAATGCTTGATGGCCGCAATATATATCGTTTGGCCATTCTCTCTCTGGCTTTGTCGTGTGGCGGCTTTTAGCCACTGGCGTGCACGCCATGCCTCTTCCTCCGTGTCATGCATGCATCGACAACCACGCACCATCTGCATATTTGAGTTCGATTGGGGACATGAGTCCCCGCGAGGCCCAGGGCAATATCCACGACCAACCCTCCGCGTAGTCGGGTGACTGGTCCAAGGCTCTGTTTGTTCTATCGTTCGGATAAAAAGAGAACACGTATGTACGTTGTACGACGAGAGGATGCGATGCGAGAGGGCAGCCAAGCAGTTATGTTGTAATCATGCGGAGCCGCCACACAGCGCCGGAGTAACACCGCCCGAACAACAATGCCCATCATGTCTGTGTATCGCATGTTGAACAACTTCATAACAAAAACATCATTCTTTGTGACATACCGCCGTGCTGAACAGAAGTCGGACGGCAAACGCTCCTTCGTCGTCTCTCTCATCAACTCTCAACTCTCAACTCTCAACTGCTACAAATACATGCACATAGCTGGTGGTGAATACGGAGATAAGCGACCAGCAGAGACCAGCTTTCTTTGTACATAGGAAATCTACAATTGACTCGTATTATTAGAATAATCCCGTACCACAACCAGCGGTAGCCTTTTCTCTGTGCAATGGTGATGTGCCGCCTACAAACCTCTCTGTGTCCAACTCTGTGAGCAGCTACATAGATAGATACACGGCGAGCTCTCGTCACGCCGTCTAGAACGTCGGGTGGAGGTACCTGACCTACGGTATGCACTACACCTCTGTGGTCCAACCCCCGTTTTGAACAGCAGCAACAAATACAGCAGTAATAAGAATTCCGCGTACAAGGAATGGTTGGGGTATCTTGGGGTATTCCTCGGAAATTGTGTCCTACATGTCAACATGAGGTTTTACTCAATCCTCTAGAATTAAAGAATTAATCGCCTTTCTGCTGTGGGGACCTCTCTTGTTAGACCACAGAGACGCAGTCTAATGTTGCTTCCTTTATTCTCTCCTCTTGATCAATGTTCCCCCCCCGCTGTCGGCCAACGCAACCCAAGCCAACGCACACACAGATCCCAAGCGCACACGGAACAGCAGTTGTAGTGCACACATGCCTCAGCAAAATCTCGAATTTTGCATGATGTCACGTCATCGCATCTGATAACGCCGAATGACCAATGATAAAAATAAATAAAATAAATACACGCACGCACAGAAAGACTACCCATTCGAGATATACCTGTTGAGGCAACAGCACTGTCACTGCAGTTGCTGTACAGCTATTCCTTCAGCTGTGGCTACAAAAGTAGCTGGCATGTGATGCGAGGTTAGGTAGGCAAACACACAGAGTGATATTATTATCCACACAGACGCCCAAGCTGTCTTCACCTGACGGTTACAGACTTGGCAACGCCTTCACAATACCGCATAAACCCATGCAGTAGAATAGAGTCGTTCTTGTACCGCAATTACTCCAACATGTCCTCTCAAGAACTACGTCATTCTAGTACCTATGCATCAGATCCAATTCTCTCTCAATGTCCTCTCGAAAACAATATCCATGTCCTCTCGAAACAATGCTATCTTAAGAACTTCTGTCTCAATATCAATTGTTTTGCCTTTCTCAGCTGCGTTGCATCAGCAGCGATTTATTTTCCTTCGACACAAATCTCCCGAATTTTCTTCTAACATATACCACACACATACACCATCCAACCCTCAAGACATAAAGTCTGATTACGAAGAAGAGGGGAGGTGATCAAACTCCTAACAGCATGCCACGGGCGCGGAGAAACTCCGACGGGTTTAGCCCTTTCGTAAAAATGTCCGCTTTCTGAAGCGACGTCGATATTTGCTTCACGTCTACGACTCCATCAGCTACCAGCGACCTTACGTGGTGAAACTTTACGTCAATGTGCTTCGTCCTTGGGGTGATACGGAAGCTACGAGTTAATTTTAGAGCTCCCGAGTTGTCCTCCCACACCACGGTTGCTTCTTCCTGAGTCTGATTTATGGTGTCCAGCAGGTGGCGGAAGTACTTGATGATGTTGCACCCCTTCGACAAAGCCACGAACTCTGCTTCAACGGAAGAGGTCGCCACCACCGTCTGCTTGGATGATGTCCATTCCACCGGTCCACCAGCGAAGTACAACACGACTCCCGTGGTGGAGTAGCCCTTGTCTAGGTCGCCTGCAAAATCTGAGTCGACAAACGCCGTAATGACGTTTCCATCTCCGGCGTCCTCGCCGTAGCGTACACCGATTGATATCGTACCTTTCAGGTACCTGAGTACGCGTTTGAGTTTCTGCATCGCCCTCGGACCTGGTTTCGCCATACTCCGCGTCAGAACCATTACGGAGTGAGTAATGTCGGGCCTTGTGCACCTGCTGAGATATAGAAGCGAGCCTGTGGCGGAGCGGAAATATGTGGTATCCTCCGCTGACAGCACCTCGTCCTCCAAGACGGACACCGGTCCAGCCTCAGACGGAGATGTCGTCGGACGCGCGTCGGCCATGCCGAACTTGTCCAACACTGCGTTGGTATACGCTTCCTGTTCCAAAAGAATCGTCCCTGCGGCTCTGTCTCGGTTGATTCCCATACCGAGTAGGAATCTGGCTCCTCCCAGGTCCACCGTTTCGAAACGCTCATTCAGCTGATCGACTATGCTCAGCACTTTGTTCTCGCCCTCCCCCGGTCAGCAGAATGTCATCCACATAAACGAGAAGGAGCACATCTCCGTCGTCCAGGATGTACAAGCACGGTTCAGCGGTGCTCTCAACAAATCCGATCTTCAGGAGAAAGTCGTGCAGAGTGCCCCACCAGCCTTTTGGGGAAAAACGCAACCCGTAAAGCCA